GGATGAATGGATGGATGGATGGATTGTTGGATGGATGGATGGATGGATGGATGGATGGATGGATGGATGGATGGATGAATGGATGGATGGATGGATTGTTGGATGGATGGATGGATGGATGGATGGATGGATGGATGGATGGATTGTTGGATGGATGGATGGATGGATGGATGGATGGATGGATGGATGGATTGTTGGATGGATGGATGGATGGATGGATGGATAGATGATGGATAAGAGAACAAACAAATAAGTTCATCTCTTTCCACCATGTTTCCCTGCCACCATAATGGTGCACATAAACATCCTGGCCGATGCTCTCAAGAGCGTCAATGACACTGAGAAGAAAGGCAAACTCCAGGTTCCTCTAGGTCATGCTCCAAAGTCATTGTCTGGTTTCTAATTGTGACGATGAAGCATGGTTACATCGACGAATTTGAAATCATTGATAATCACAAAGCTGAGAAAATCGTTGCTAACCTCACATGCAGGTTAAATAAGTGTGATCAGCCCCAGATTTGACATGTAACTCAAAGACCTACAAAAGCGGCAGAATAATCTCCCATCCCATCAATTTGATTTCATTGTACTGATGGCCTCAGCTAGTACCATGGCCACGAGGAAGCAAGACAAAAACATATGGAAGAGAAAACCCTGGGATGCTTTTTCTAGGGATACAATACACACATACAAATAAAAAAAAAAAGAGAGAGTTTGTGTTTGATGGCTTTTGCTCTCTTGGCTTCTCCATTGGTGTTTGAGCCATCTCCCCAGTGGATTGTGGGCTCCTTGAAGGCCAAATTCCTTTCCCCTCCTTAGAATCCCTTTCTCCCAGAGGGCCCTGGAAGCAGGCCTTTGCACTTCCAGACCTTCCAAAGCCCAATTGAGAGGGGCCATTAGGATCCGCACCAGATCCTCAGCTGGATGCCATTCCAATGTCCCCAAACAAACAGCAGCAGCATGGTGCTGGGGGAGGTGCAAACGGGTTTGGGATTCAAATCCCAGCTCTGCCACTTACTCCCTGGGGGAACATGGGCAAGCCACTTAACCTCTTTGAGATTCAGGAGTTTTTTACATCTGTAAAATAAGACAATATCACCTACCTTGCGGGGCAATTGTGCAGAGTAGTGAGTACTATGTAAGCGGCAGGTAACAAGCACTCAATAAACGATAACCTTTATGTGACGAGCACCAGCCTCACCACACAAAGGTGAATAAGACAGGCCCTGATCTCATGGATATCTCACTCTAGCACGGACAGAGTCCACTGAAGTGGCCAATGGCAACACAGGGTGTCACATCCAAGTGTGGGCAAAGGAACACGGGAAGATGGGATGAGTTCACAGAAGGCTTCCTGGAGGAGGTGACATTTAGTTAGACCTTAACATTACACAGTGTGGAGTCCTGAGTTCTTTCCAACTTGCTGCTAAATTTCCATGTGACCCTGAGCCAGCCTCTTCCCCTCTCTGGGGTCCCCAGATCCCCTTCTGTAACATAAGGTTGTTGAGCAGCAGCTCTGAATTTTTTGGGTCAGAACCTCCTTGGAGAAGAATCTCTGAAAGCCAGAGCCCTCTTCCCAGATAAATGCAGACACATAAGTTTGTCTGTAACGGGGAAGGGGGCTTCATGGACCCCCGGAAAGCCATCAGTGGACCCTAGGCAAAAATCCCAGAGCTCAGTGATCCTTTTGGAGCATTATCCCTGCAGAACTGGCCCTGCCCTCAGATGGAGCCTCTCGCTTTAGTCTGCGGCAGGCGCAAGCAAGCCGAATCATCGACCCAATCTGGAAAGCCCATGAGGCTGCAGGACAGAGCAGGGGCCCGGGGGGGCGGAGGTCGCTCCAGCTGGCTGGGGAACCGGAGTTTTGGTTCTGGGAAAGCGCCCTTGAGCAGCCTGCCCCCGACCCCGCCTAGTTTATCACCATCTGTCCGGGGGAGGAAGAGGAGCGTGGGCCGCTCTGGGCAGGCTCCCAAACAGACCGCTGACCCCCGTCTGCCGCCCAGGCTGGAGTTCCCGGACGCATCCTTCATCTTCCCTAATCTAAACACCCGCAGGCCGCGGGTGGTCCATCCCTCTCCCAGCTGATGTGTGTCTTCAGCTGCATCCAGCTTGCCAGAGCAGGGAGAGCTGGCCATCCCATTAACGCCTGAGCTGCTGCCCCCACCTGCCTCCCTTGCCATCCAGCCAACCCTCACCCAGCATTTATTGAGCACCTATTGTTTACAGGCTTCTGTGAATGAGATGGCAGAGGGCCTGCCTTTACCGGCCTCCAGGCCTAGGTCCCTCCCACCTCCCTGGGAGGCAGGATGCTGTTGCTAGCCCCCTCACCTGAGCAGGTGGGTGCTTGGGGACTTGGGCTCCAGGTACTGGAGGAGAAGCAGCTCCAGGCTGGTGTCTGGCCACTGGGCTATGCTGCTATGTGATCCTGGGCCTGTTTCTTACCCTCTCTGGGCCCTGGTCTTCCCATATGTACACTCGGATCCATGATTCCATTTGGCTCTGAAATGGGCCTTGCCTGCCCCTCCTCACCCTTCTCCTTCAGAATAGTGGAAGGAGAAGAGAAGGTTGCCCTAGAATGCTGTAAGATCTTTCTTCAGACAATCTCTGGATCTTATTCATTCATTCAAGCATTTATTGAGCACCTATTGTATGCCATGCCCTGGACTGGGCAGCTGGAATGCAAAGAAGACTAGCATTCAAACAGGCGAGCTGCTTGAATAGACACCCCACTCCACGCCTTGCGCCCTGCTTGGGGTCGGGAGGCGTCCTGGGGTTTTGGGGCGCCCCGGGACTCACGTGGCGGCGCCAGCGGCGCTTAGGGCCTTCATCTGTCTCCTCCCCTTCCTCCTTCCCCGCCCCCACCCCCTCTCCTCCCCTGAGCGCGGCCGCGGCCGCCTCCCACCCGCGGGCTCCCGGCGCCCGGCAGCCGGCTCCTGCGTCCGTCGGTCGGCGGCGAAGTCTGTCCGCGCGCGGAGAGCCCAGCGCCCCAGCGCGCGGCGGCCGCCGGGCCTGGGAGGGAAAAGGCGCGGAGGCGGGACGGCGGCTCCCTCCCACTCTGGAGGGAGCCCAGGAGGCGGCGGTGCTGAAGCGCGAGCCGAGAAGGAGGCAGAGCAGAGGACAGGCGGTGAGAGCGCGGGGCCTTGGGGACCCCACCCCCGGCTCCCGCGGGGGACCCGCGCGCGCTTCGCGGAGGTCTGGGCTGGGGAGGGGGCGCTGTTACCCCCAGGGCGGGAGGCAGCGACGATCCAGCTCCCGGCCTCACCTTCTCGGTGACGCGACCCCCGAGGGGCCTTGGGCCGCGCCTGCAGCGCCGCGCATCCCCGCGCATCCCCGCACGCCCTGCATCCCCGGCCGGGCGCGGGCCCCGGGGGAGGGGAGCGCTCGCGGAGCTGAGGAGGGGGCGCCGCAGGTGAGGAGTCTCGGCAGATCGCGCCCCCAGCCCCAGCCCTCCCTTCAGGCCTGCCCCAAGGGAACGTGGCCGGGCGACCCCCTTTAGCCCCCCTTGCGCCCCCCCCATCGGTTCCCCATTGTTCTCAGCCATCGCTCTCCCGGGAAGGGGGGAGGGGGTGCCGCGCTCTATTCTTAAAGGGCCCTCTCCCCTTCTTGTCTCCAGGCAGGTCGCGAGCACGAGTGGGGTGGGGCGTGCCCACGGGCCCCCGCCCCCCTCGTCCCCTCGCCCAGCTCCGGAGCCGCAGCCCGGCCGGCGGGCCGGAGGTGGGCGCCGCGCCCCTCCCCGGGCGTTCTTCAGCCACCAGGCCTTCCAGGACAAGGGGGACAGGGACGCCCCCTGCAGCAGGAGCCGTCGGGGAGGCGGACCCGAGACAAGGCAGGCAACCCCACTGGAGCCAGGCGCAGGGTCTGGGACGCAGCTGGGAGCGCAGAGGGCTGGCTGGGCGCTGCGGAGAGCAGCAGGCTGGGCCCGGCCTCCTGGGTGACAGGCCCTGCGCCGCCGGCAAGAAGGACGGGAGACCAGCAGGGAAGAGACTGGACCTAGAGTAGAGGCCGCTGCCTGTCTCCCTTATCTGAGCTGAGGGAACCAAGGAATTTAGAGCAACGTTTCCCCCGTTGTAAGAAAGACTCTTGCTTTCCGGAACAGCACCCTTTATCTGAGCCAGCTCTGCTGGGAACGGATCCTTGTAGCCTGGAACACCCCATACTCCTTTAACTGAGGCCTCTGGGCCTCCCAGAGGACCAGGAGTTAGAAAGGAGGTCGGACAGTCCTTGCTGGCCCCCTGGGGAGAGAGGAAGTTCCCTGCCTGCTCCCAGGCCCAGGAGGAGCTGGGCCAGTGGTAGTGGGGTCCTGGCCCCCGAGGCAGCAGCGGCCATGTCACGGCCAGGCCAGGGTGTCATGATGCCCGTGAACGGGCTGGGCTTCCCACCGCAGAACGTGGCCCGGGTGGTGGTGTGGGAGTGGCTGAACGAGCACAGCCGCTGGCGGCCCTACACGGCCACCGTGTGCCACCACATCGAGAACGTGCTCAAGGAGGACGCCCGTGGTTCCGTAGTTCTGGGGCAGGTGGACGCCCAGCTGGTGCCCTACGTCATTGACCTGCAGTCCATGCACCAGTTTCGCCAGGACACAGGTGAGCAGACTCGCTCCCCGCCCCGCCCCACCCCACCCGCCGGGCCGGGCCGAGACACAGACACCACTGCCATCGCTACCCCACCGCCACCTTTCATGATCGGACGCTGAAGTGCCCCCTCCATCCCTGGGAGGGAGCCTGGACCTGCCAGAAGGCCAATGTGCTGATCCAACCTCCCTGCCCCCAAAAAAGGGAGAGCCTAGCCTAGTCCAGCGTACGACTTGGGTTCCAATCCAGCCTCTTATATTAGTTGTAGGGCTGTGGGCAAGTTACATCACCTCTGAGCCTCAGTTTCCTCATCTGCAAAATGGGGGGATCAGTGTCTCTCAGCTGTGTGAGGAGTGAACAAAATTGTGCTCATCGAGAACAGAACCTAGAAGAGCATTAACACTCAGTTATCGTAGTTAAAGGCTCTCCATGCATTTCCTCATTTGATTTTTTCCAATCCCAGGCAGTAAGTCTTAGTATTGTGTTATCATTATTAGTCCCATTTTGCAGATGAAGAAACTGAGTCTTACAGAAGCTGAGTGATTTAAACTCAGAGCTGGAATTGAAGCCCAGGCAATTGAATTTCAGAGCCAGAGCTCTTGACTGGTATCTTAGCCTGGCTCCAAGTGTTGGTGGTTTTGGGGGCGTGTGATGATGGGGGTGGTGTTGGGGGTGTCTGATGGCGGTGGTGATGATGGGGGTGGAGGCGGGGTGGTAACGATGGAGGAGATAGTGTTGGCAGAGATGTCAGTAGTAGTATTGATTGTGGCGTAGGTGGTGGTGGTGTTGATGGTGGTGTTGGTGGTGGTCTTGGCAGTGGTGTGACGGCGTGGTAACGATGGAGAGAATGAGGTTGGTGGCAGTCTTGGTGGTTGTGTGATAGTTGACGATGGTGACAAAAATGGGGAGGGCCCACTCAGCATTTTCGTTCGCCATCCCTGTGGCCATCTCCCTGAGTCACTGCTCCCTGGTGGTCTCTGTGACAAGCCTGGTGGGCAGTGGAGGATGGTGAGGTCCTGCCTCGTGGAAGCTGCAAGAATCCTTGGCATGTTTGACCCCAGGGACCAGCTGATGAAGGTTGGGGCAGTTCCTGTGAATCCTTGGATGACAGAACTGCATGTAGGCCTTGGACTCAGTAGACACTTTCTTTCTCTCTAAAGCTGTGCCGTCCAGTATGGTAGCCACTAACCACAGGCAGCTATGTAAATTTATGTGACTTAAAATTAACTAACATTTAAAATTCCATTTCTTGGTCCCACTAGCCACATTTCACATGCTCAATAGCCACGTGTGTCTCCTGGCTACAGTACTGGACAGCAGAGATCCAGAACACAGCTTTCATTGCAGAAAGTTCTAGTAAATAGCTCTGCTCTGGAACATTGCTTGGTGCCTCCAGAGTGGTCACCAAGTGTGGAAACACAAGCGAACTGATAACAAATGGTTTATTGATGTTGCTTTTCAGTACATCTGTTTCCATAGCTCCCAGCACTGACTGTGCTCACTCAGTGCCAGTCATTCATTCATGCCATCATAGGGTCATTTATCAATCTCCTGCTGTGGGTCAGACCCTGGGCTAAGCACTAGAAGACTGCAAGGAGCAAGACAGCCAGGGTCCTTAGTAGAGGTCTAGTACTGGACGACCTATGCTGGAGACCTCGGTGTAGTCGGGGAGCAGGCAGGCGCACAGTCACACAGGTAACCAGTTGCAGGTCTGAGAACACAAAATACACCTGGTCTGGGGGTGGTCACAGAAGGATAATCTGAGGAAGTGATGATTGAACAGAAATCCGAAGAATGAGTGAGGGGGGCAGTGTTCCAGGCAGAGCGAACAGCCAGTGCAAAGGCCCTGTGGTGGGAAGGAGCAGAGTACATTCCAGTCTGTTGTGTTTGCAGTGCAGTGAACAAGGGGAAGGCGGTGCAAGTTGAGGTTGGAGCAGGGACCAGACTGACAGGCCTGGACGGCCATGTAAAGGGCTTTGAATTTTATCCTGAGTAGAGGAAGTCACCATTGAGTCCTCGTGCCCATTCTCCCAGAGAGGCACTGAGTCCCTGACGGACAAATGAGAAGTGCTAGGCGTCGCCGGCCCCATTCTCTCTGGTTTATCCCAGAACCTTCTCTGGTGGAGGGCTGGGGCCTGACAGCGGCAGGAGGTGGTTTCCTCCTTGGCTCCAGGGTTGGCATTCTGCAGGCTCGGAGCTAGTGCGGGGCCCGGCTTATGACCCTTAGAAGCAGGGCTGCCCCCCACCAGGGTGCCGAGTTGGCCATTTCGCCTTTGATTCCCCCCCACCGTTTGGGGCCCCATTTCTATTCCCAGCACCCCCACTTGGGTTCCTAGCACCCCAGACTCCCTCCATTCCCCCTTTCGGCAGGCCCCTATTCTCGGCGGCACCCCTTTTGTGCTGCAGCCCTGCTGGATCCCCCAGAAGTTCAGCTTCGCTCACTTCCCCACAGCCCCTCCCCGGAGCGGCTCTCTCCACACCTGCCCCCTGTTTACCGGAAAAGGGAAAAATCCACTCATCCCTCCTGGGAGCCTGCCAATACCCCCCAGCGAGAGAGGAAGGCCTGGAAACCTCTGGGGCTGGCAGGGGACCTGGGACTCCCGGAAAACTGCCAGAGGGAGGGGCAAGGTGCCTCCCACCAGACATGGTACAGGGTGCTCCCCCACTTCTCCCAGGAGCAAAACAACCTCGAGAAAGGAGATCTTGTCCTCACTGCTAATGGTCCAGGGAAGAGCCTCGGGCAGGCGTCCTCCCCTCTCCAGGCCTCAGTTTCCACATCTGTGAAATGGGCAAGAGCATCGCTTTGCTAGCAGGGTTGTTGGGTTGATGGAGAGAACCCAGCCTGTGATTTTATCCTACAAACCTTGACTCATCACTTGCCATGTGCCTATCCTGTGCTGAACACTACGGAGGTATGAAAGATGAGTAGGAGACCCTAAATCTTGAAAAGACTGTGGTTCTGTCACACACACACACTAAAAACAATAGAAGGTTGTAAAACCCAAAGTTCGCATACATGTACTGAAATGAACACAGCTTCTATCTAGATTTGCCCGTTGTAAAATTCTTGATAAGTTCATTGAAGCTGAACTTTGATTTTGGGGGGAAGTAACAACATGCACCGGCTTTGCTAGTGCTCTGACATAGGAGCCGGCAGACTTTCCGATAAGGTCAGAGAGTAAATATTTTCGCTTTTGTGGGCCCTGCAGTCTCTGTTGTAACTGCTCCACTCTGCCATTGTCACGTGAAAGCAGCCATAGACTTTATGCAAATGAATGTGGCTGTGTTCTAATCAGACTAGCTATGGACGCTGAAATTTGAATTTCCTATAATTTCCACGGGTCATGAAATCTTTTTTTTTCATTTAAAAATGTAAAAACCACTCTTAGCTCGTGAGCGCCGCATAAAGCAGGCGGCGGGCGGATTTGGCCCGCGGGCCACAGTTCGCCAGCCCGTGCCCTAGCGTGTCTTAACCTGCCCACGGGTAACACAGCGCTGGTGCCACGGCACGCCCAGCAGGTCGTATACTGAAATACACACCTCGTGGCGTGTGCCGAGGTGCACCTGGGTGTGCGTACACGCACACGGCACCAACCCGCATGTTCGCGGCTGACACACAGATGTCTTGTCTCTGTGCCTCTCGTGCAGCCAGCAGAAGAAAGCCCAGGTGTCCGGCCAGACCGCAGGGGAGAGGCCGGCCCGGTCCCCTGGGGGCTGCTGTTTGTTCAGCTGGTGCCCCCTCACCTCTCCCCTGCGGGGCTGTTTTCATCGCTCCCCGCAGGGGGTGAGGTTCCCTTTGAAGCCCTGCAGGTCCAGAGCCCACGTGGAAGGGAACACTGTGACCCTGGGCCACGTGATGTCAGATCACGCCCTTCCCGGGCATGTGTGCCGCGACAGCCATGGTGTCCTCTGTGGTGGGCCCCGTGCTGTTCCCCCAGGCTCTCCTCTGCTTCCTTTGTCTCCAGCCGTCCCTACCACAGGCAAACCCAGATTTCACAAATGGGAAAGCCAGGGCTGAGGGGCCTGTGGGCACAGCCGCTGGTGGCGGAGCTGGCCTAAGGAGCCATTGGGGTCTGGGGGAGGGGGTTGGCTCCACCAGCAGTGGGGGAAAGATTGGGGAGCCGTTTTCCGCCCCCTGTGAGGCCCCAACTTCCCTGAGGGTCCCTGGGGCAGTGCTGTGGGGGCCTCGGAGGGCCTCACCCAGCCCCTGGATCCAGGCCCCACAGCTGGACAGGAATGTGACTTAGCTACTTGCCAGGCAATTTCCAGATTCCTCCCCGGACTCACATGGCTGGGGGTAAAGGGGGGGGGGGCACCTTTCTGACTGTTGTCGCCCGTTCTCCTCTCGCTCTGCTGCTGGGGGCACCATGGCTGCCATCTGCCCATTCTGCAGATGGGAGAGCTGAGGCCAGGGGAGGCCAGGCTGGGGACTTCCACAACTGCTGTCCCCGAGGCTGGAGGCGTGGCTGTGCCTAGCACTCCCAAGCTGGCAGGCTGGAGCGACAGGTGGCAGCTGGTTTCAGCCTCCCCCAAGCCTACATCATCCCTTCTCTGGGTGGCTGGGGCTCCCCTCAGCCCTGGTCCCTGCCCTTATGGGAAACGTCCTGTCTGGGGACACGCTTAGGCTGTTGGAGACCAGGTGGGGCCACCCAGAGGGGGGAGCAGCCATCACCAGAGAAAGCACCATCAGAATTTACACTCCTAGGCAGGTTGTTCAGATGGAGAGACGGAGGCCTAGAGACGGTGAGTGACTTGCCCAAGGTCACACAGACAGTCAGTCCCAAGCTGGAACCCAGGCCTCTCAGATAGGTCTCAGGGATGGAGAATGAGGTGACCTTCAGTGCCCCGGTGGAGAGAGTCCCCTCCCCCTTCTCCCTGGAGAGCTCTGCTGGGGCTTGTTGTCAGGGTCTGTACCAAGGCAGGAACAGCCTGTGCAGCCCCAGAGGCCTCCAGGGCCAGCTCCCTGGTTACAGGACCCCTTGGGACCTGTAACCTCCCAGCCCATCTGGGAG